CAGACGGGGACACGAACTCACATAATCACCGAGATCTAGAGGGAGATAGGGATAGGGAGAAGGGAGAGGTGGAGAGGGAGCAGGGAGGGGATCAGGTAGGAGGAGTAGGGAGCTGCTCGTCGGCGGCAGTGGATCATCGAGGTCACCTCACCGGAGTCGGGGAGGACGAAGCCGAGACTATGAGGGCGAGACCGCGAGAGCGAGGCGAGACGAGAGCGGCGCGGCGGGATGAAATGAAATGAGCTAGGGTTCGGGGTGTGAGGGAGAGCCGCCGCGGTGTACGCTTATATATGAGAGGGGAGGCGGGGACGGTGGGCCGCACTGGGCCTTGGGGAGGGGAGGAGGAGTGAGGAGGGGGAGGGGGAGGCCGGGCCGTTGCCGGGCCGGGCCGTGCCAGCCCACGGGCCTGAGTAGCGGCCTAGGCACGGCCTGCTCCCTCGGGCCGGGCCAGCCCGGGCCCGCTGACCATCGGGCCGTGCCGTGCTTGGTCCGGACCAAAATTGCGTGCTTCGTGTCGGGCCGCCGTGCCTCGGGCTGCATGGACATTTATACTTGGAGGAGCGCTCGCTCAACGGCCACGGAGTGCTTGAGGAGCCACGGAGTGGATTTGTTGTTCTTTGCATCTCGCATTCACTTCGCAAGACCTGACTTTTGTGCATAATTTTTTTTTCTGCGTTTGTTAATACAGTGGATTGAAGTTCTGGTTTTGCTTTATTCCTGCCTTTTTAGGTCCTGCGTTTGCTAATCGAGGATTCGAGTTGTGGGGTTGTACTAGGCGTGAGCAACTAGCTGTGGTGGTGGCACGCCTGCAGGCCATGGCAGTGGCTATTGTCTGCGTAGCAGCCGAAAGCAAGGAAGAAGCTAGGCAGCGGAATAGATGGACGCGGCTGTGCCGTGCTGTTGCAACATCAAGGTATTTTGATTTCTTTTGTTTCTTTGGTCGTATTTGCTGGTACCAGGCGTGTGCTTCTTTGCCCTGACGCAAAGGCTTCACCAACAAATGTTGGCTACAAGCTGTGTGCCAGGCTTCTTGGACTGGTATGGTTTGTGCTGATGATGCTTTTGGGAGCAATTATTAATTTATACCATGTTTGAATTCTTATCAGCTTAATCTGATGCCTGTTGCATTCATTTTTTTTTGCACAGACTGAGCACTTGCTATGGAAGACAGCTTTGGTGCATGCAAGGTATTCCACACATTTGTGCACAGTTTTTTGAAACATTAGTCTACTCTACCTATACATACACCTGTGTGCACAGTTCTTTGAAACATTAGTCTGCTCTGCTCTTTTGGGTTTCTTCACGTGCAATGTGCGCTTGCACTTTTTTGCAAGGTTGGCTCAGCACTTCAGCCAATGGTGAAGATGATTCTTTTCCTCCTGCTGTAGCTGAGAGGCAGCACGAGGAAATATTGTGTTCAAAAATGCAAAATAAAAGGACAATGCTGCTGAATAAGAGCAGTACCCAGTACAACACTAGAAAAAAAGATGTACCCAGTGCAGAGAGCTTCCGCTTTGTGCGGGGTCTGGGGAAGGGTGTCAGTGGCTAGCTTTACCCTTGTCTGTGTAATGCGAGGAGACCGCGACTCGAACCCAGGATCTTCCGATCACAGGTGGTAAGACTCTACCGCTTGCACCAGGCCCGCCCTTCCCAGTACAGCACTAGAGCTAGACAATTTATGCTTCCTATTTTGTTCTCACAAGATAGGTTCAAGTGGTTTATGCTGAATTGCTGATAGATCTCTTTTCTCAATTGACCATCGCTAACAGCTAACACTACATACTGTAGAGCCCTTACTGCTAAATAGATCTGTATTATCATGGTGTATGAATAACTTCAAGTATTTATTGTCCCGTCTTGGTTCCGCCGAGGGGTTTGAGTAATTTCAGAGATAGCATTTTGGTCTGTTTTTTTTACTCCCATGCTTGCTTATTTGCACTTCCAAGTTTTTGGAGCCCTACTATACAGAGCTACCAGTTTTCAATTTTCCATTCTCAGTTATCACTTCCTCAGTTGACCAAGCTTTGGTGCTATCATGAACTAGAGGCACAGAAGTGTAAATCTCTATGCTAGGTTTTTAGATATAGTGCATGGTAAGTCCCTTCTATGGTATGTAACTTCCAGCTAAATGAACAATTGTTAGCTATCCATAATTTGTTTTAGATTTAATTTACACTGACTGTTCTATAATGAAAAAAAAATTGAATAAGGCTTCCGTACCCAGTGCAGCAATTACTGAAAATAACATTCCTCTTTTCTTCTTTTTATCGCTTCTCTATAGCTAATAACCTAAAAGCAACCATTCCACTACAAATTTTATTATGATCTGTCATTTACATTTTTGCCCTGCTAGTGATTGATCCTTGGTGGGAGCTCAGAAAATAATTAGTCCTTTTTCTGACCTGCGTGTTTTGGTCCAATGAAATTGGTATGCCTGGTCACTAAGGACATGACTTATCTTATTTAGTTTCCTCACAGGCTGTAGCTTATGCCACTTGCACTCTAATACAATGAGGATTGATAGGTTGGGTTTGTTATTTGTTAGCGTGAGATACAAGTGTTTTCTTGGCATCCCCTACCAGTCTCATAATATTCACTTGTTTTGCATATACACTAGGTTTTTGAAACGCAATCAAGCGTTGATGTTAAGCTGATGTCTTCTTTCATACATATCTATGGTCCTGCGTATCCTGAAATTGCTATATATAGACTGTATTATACCTACATATTTTGGAGGACGACACTCGAGTTAGTGTTTCCATGGTGCTGCTAGCACATGTGTGCATTAACATCTTTTATTTATGTACAGAAACTGGCCATTTTGGCTTGCTCTGCCATCTTTTACCATATCAGTGCACAGCCTAGAGATCATGTTTCAGGAATGCATCTTTATACTGCTCTCCCTTCCCTCCCCCTTCCCCTTGTTTAATTTTCTTTTAAACATTTTTTCTCCTGGTAACCCATACTAAAACTGCTGCTCTCCCTTCCCTCCTCCCCCTTCCTCTCCTGAATTTCCTAGACCAAGGTAAAGTAGCACATTTTGAGAAGCTATTTATAGAACTGAAACAATATAAAACTGCAAGCAAAGATGGCTTAGTCTTGATCTATGTATGTCATAGCCCTTTTATAGTTATATTTTCATGACAGGGTTCCATCCTCTCTACATCAGTTTGCTTGTGTATTGTTTAGTTAATGTGTTAGAGCATAGTTTCCAAAGATCTACTCTACATTTTAGCCACCTACCTCACCTTCTTAGTTAGTTGTTTTTACTTCGAGTGCCAGCTTGTATTACTGGACTGCAGCTTGATTTTTGTTGATCACTCTTTTGGAATTGACTTGCTGGTTTGCTAATTTACATAGTTACTTTCTATTTCCAAATAGTATTAATAAGCATAGGTGGATGACGCAATAAAGCAATACAGTAAAAACAGGCGATGAGACTTTCAGCTAGCACTGTTCCTCTGCTTTTGAAGAGATTAGGTAACTGCTAATATCACCTCTTTCCTTTTGTTTCGATTTTGCAACCTATGAGCTAAAGGGAGGAACTTTATTCCCCTTTGTTGGTTTAGAAGTGTGAATCCATAGGATGAACTTTATTGTTTTGTCAACAATGAACAAGGATTAGCTTTAATTTCTTGCTGTGAAAAAGGGGAATTCAAATTCAAACTTTAATTCTCTTGCAGAAGTATATCTAAACTTTATTTTAGAAATATTGCCTACCTGGCAATAAAATTATTCTATGTTATATAACAGATGTTTTCCTTGCTAATAATATAAAGATTAGATTGCGACTTATTTTTTTCTTGGGTTGTTCAGTATCTGTATGGAGAAAGCTAAGAATAATAAACTTTAGGGTTATATAAAATGGCAATTTTTGGGAATAAACAGTAAGTGTCTAGGATTAATATGGTGTCTGGTTATAATCTTTTTTTTTTTTGCACGCATGCATGTTATTTCATTTTTCCATCTATTTGGCTTGCAATTCTGTTAAAGGAAAAACAGTGTTGCTTTCAGTTACAGTCGCTATGCTTGAGGTTACAATTGTTCCACTCTACATGTCACCGGGTGTGCCACCATTCATCAAGCATGAGCACAAGAGAACAAATCATCTGACCTACCACTCTATCAAGCCTTGCTCTGCTCCTCACATGTTGTAACTTAAATTCATTAGATTTATTACCATGTAATGAAACAGGTTGTTTTCATTATTCAACAACACAGGGTTTCGCATAGCTTCTAAACACATGCTGCTACAATTGTTTAACAATTTGTTGTCCTATATAGACCATTGATGTTTTCAGTATACTTATGTTCCATGGTGTATAATTGCTGTCTAAGATTTAATACTACATCGAATACATATTACCTTATGAATTATTGGTGCATTATCTTTGTGTCTTGTCAACTGTTATATATAATCATAGTTGATCTACGCGCGCCCATGCGGGCGCAAATTACTAGTACCCATGAAACTACCCCCGCAGATCCAATCCAAACTTCAACGATGATCGCAAGTCAAAAAGGAAAAGGATTATCCTAACAAATCTAAAGAAATCGAAGAGAAAGACCGTCAGCCCGTCACCAAAATATAATGCAAAATCATAACCCACAAGTTTGAAATTGAAAGAAAAAGAGATAGGCAACGCAAAATCATAACGCACTAGTTTGAATCCGGAAGAACGAGAGAGAGATAAGACAAAAAGGGCAGAACAGTACTGATTCGAGAAGCCAGAACTAAAAACATTGAATCAGGGGATGGAAACCAACCAACCGCTTGGCAACCATTTTTTTTTTTCAAAACCTCTACGCTTCTCAAACTAGACACGAGATCACTGCTAGTACATGCTTGGGCTAAAAATCGAACCCAATAGCTTACATTTGCATGATGCGATGGACACTAAGAGAGATGGCGTTTTACACACTGAGAATGTACAAGCGTATGCCATCTGCAAACAAACTCCCTTATTTCCGGCCACACCTGCGACTCAACCGAAGGCAGATCAGGGTCTACGCAGCAGCTCCTGCACCGTTTGAGCGAGCCTGGGCTCGCTCTTGATGCCCTGGATCCACCTTGCGCTGATCCATATGTTCTCAAGGCTCTGCTTCAGTGTTCTCTGGAATTCAGGCTTCTTGCGGGTGGCGAAGAAGCGGGAGAACTCTGCTGCCTTCTCGTTGGAGGTGAACTGGTGACCAGAAACAGAGGAGCTCGATCGATTATTAGTAATTTATTATATATATACTTTTTGGGGGGAGTGGGCTAGTATAACAAGCACGCACAGTTCGACAAATGGAATGTGGCCTTAAACTTACCAATGTGGTGACATATCTGATAAAACTTCCTTCTTGTGTGTCCCCGTATTTCTTTGCCATAAGATCCCAGTTACCCTGCATCAACACCAGAACAAATGTCATGCAAGCAACTTGCTTTCAAATATTTCAAGGTTAACTACATGAAAATTTGGTCATTTTCTAATTTTGCCCCTTCTAATCTAGGAAATCTTTAAGGTATCCATAAAGGAAAGTTGGTGTAATCTCAAAATTTAGTTATGACAGAACTGCATGAAGACAGAACAGCAAATTAGTTCCTTTATAAATATTCCACCGGGACGTTTCCAACTTTCCATGGACGACAATATCCAAGGGCTTGTTTGGCAGGCAAGAATTTCAAAACTTTGGTATAAAAGAAGACATCAAAAGGGCAGATGTTTTGTTTCATCCAAAATACCAATAGGAATCCCATATTTGTAACAGCCATACAGGTCCAGGAGTTTCAGCTTATATGTTGAAACTAAAACAAAATCAATGACTTCAACCTTTCAGTATATATATCCATTAAAACATATTTTACCTTCAACCACACCCATGCGGTATCACGTGTCTCCATGCTAAGACCTTGAAGTACATAATATGCATCTTGCTTGCGAAACTGACAAGTAATAGAGGCAAGTGAGACTTCATAAGAGTACAAGCTCATCCGATTGAGCTTCCACTGTCATCATGGAGAACCAACAAAGAAAAAAAATGAAAAGGTCTACCTCATTGGTGAAAAGAAGATTCAATGATTCAAGAACAATATTCTTATCCTTACAATAACACAATGTGCCTGGAACAAGGAGACAAAGCATTCAGAACAACCCAACATGTCAGCAAGCTTTGTTAAATTAAGAGTTGTTGCAAAGACACATACTTAAGACACGCCCCCTTTCCTCTGCTTCATCTGACACCGTGTAGACTTTCAGAAGATCATTATAAGCAGATCTGTATGAAGTAGTAACATTCTGCATTGCAGCGAGGTATGCAGCCTGTAGTACATCGCAATAAGTATGAGGTAGGTAAAACGCAAAAGCACCATATAAAGTAAGGAAAAAAGGCAGGACCTTTCTGGTATCAGGAGGAAGAAGAGAAGTGTTGCGATCATGTACAAAGATACTGAAACGCCTAACTCCCTCATTTATAGTCTTATCATGCCCAAGTTTGACAAGAGCAACCAAGAGCACTGGTCTAAGCAACGAGTCCAGGTGGCTCTCACCATCCTTGGGGTCCCAGCCTAATTTTCTGAAAAAAATAAACAAGGAGACTGTCATGTGGCCAAAGTCTATGTTGGCAAACAGACAGTACTACGAAACACTGCATCTGACTGTATAACAAGGCATGTTAGCAATAGCAAACGCGCAAACAGAAACAAGATGACTTTCCGCGCAATGACAATTAAAGTGATTCAGAAGCAGGCAATGTAAGACATGGTTTGACATACACAGCAGGTGGCAGAAGAAGCTTGATCAGAAGTTGTTTGATGTCACCGACCAATCCAGGAGTAGCATCAACCGATATTTTAGCAATACTTAAACTCACCTGTGAAAAGCGAAAGGAAATAGCTTGAAAAATATCTTCAAATCAAAATATTGAAGATCATGGAATTCAGGAATTGATTGGTTATACAAGATTTACATACAGTATTTATGTGTGAAAGAACACTGTAATCAGCCTCCCCACGGTAAGCATACAGTAAACGTAGCAATGATGTTAAGGTTTGTTTGCAGGCGATAGATAAGGCCAGTGAATCTTCCACAATGCCTGCAATGTTAATGTTATGATACTTGTCACTAAAATAGTGATAAGAAATTTAACAGTATCACATGTGGTCCTTACCAATTTTATCCATTACAGAGAGCTTCTTGGCCTGCAATGCATTTTCAAGTGCAGCTGCAAGTTTATCGTCGTATTGAACTCTATAGAACCCTGTTTGATTAATGTTCAACTTAATCCAAAAGTCTCCACCCTTCTCTTGGTTACCACACTGTGAAGCAATGTCTCTTATATCCAGCCTATGACTTTTGCCTTTCAGTAGAAATTTTTTCTGTGTATAATATGAACCACAGCCTACAGTTATAGGGACAATCCACATTCCGGGGCCAGAGGACCCATCTAACAAAAACTGTGCCTGCAACAAAAGAAACAGTAACTTCATAAAGGCTGAAGCAAAAGAACATACAACAGAAATCCACAGATCAATGAACTAGCATGCTAAATTTTTCCATTAGAATAATAATGTTTTGACAGTCAATTCAGCACTTCATATGTTGATGAATGCAAAGATTACACAGGAAGGACAATGTATTATAAAAACCTGTTCAAGTTCTAGATAATTCCCTTGAAGCTTTGCATTAATAACAGGGTACCCTTGTTGCTTTGTCCATGTAGTCATCATATTCTTGACAGGTTCGCCAGATTTCTCTTCAAGAACAGCCCACAGGTCCTCAGTTTTAGCATTTGAGTAGGCAAATTTTCTTATATATGAAGCCAACGCTTTCTGAAAGAGTAGATTTTTTCCCCACATTTAGCACAATGAAAAGTATTAGGAGAATTACTCAAGAAATCAGAGAGTAAAGGCAAACAGAACTGGACAGAAAAAGGCAGGAAAAAATTAGTCTTCACTAAATAATATAAATATCAGAAAAACATAACAGATAAAAATCTAACTTGCAATAAAAGAATGAGGAGTGAAAGACAGCTATAGCTTACTCGGCCATTCTTTCTTAACAGTTTTTGTTTTTAAACTTGTGCACACTACAATAACACAATTAGACTCCAATGGTAACATAAACATATCCCAGGGCTTTAAATAAAAGGAAAAACTCCTTTCACTGACTTCCTATGGACTATTGTCACTTAATTAATCGATTTATCTACTCCATATTTCTCATCTACCAATCCACATTTAGTCTATTTGAGTAATAAAACAAGTAAACCAATTCATAGGTTCTGCAAAATGCATCAAACATGGGTAGGGCAAGTTTGAAAGAAACAAATGTACTGTGCCCTCTAATCTAAAACATAGATAGAACATAACAGAAATGGTTTTTGGGTGCCCAAACCAAAATGGTCAGCATGATTGCCCCCCAGGTTTGGAATAGCATGTTGCCTAACCTATTAGAGCATCAAGGTTTCGTCTATAAAACATCATTTTTGGAGAGAAAAAGAGAAAAAAATAATATTGTTCATGACAATTCACACAGTGCACTGGATTAACAACATGTGCACCTGTGTAGCAACTAAATGAAGAGATAAAAATGAGATGAGACTGTTGCTAATTGATATCAAAATAGAAGGTAAAGAGATCAGGGTGATTCCATACAACTTCAAACGGCAAAATAAAGCAGAAGATGCTGACTCAAGGCATTGCAAAATATTAAGGCTCGAATAGTGAAACAGAGTTTCAAAGAGAGCCAATCCAAACCTGAAAACGCTCTGCCCCAAGGTAATTCTGTAGCATACGAATAACAGAAGCACCCTTATCGTAGCTTATGGCATCAAAAATTTCATCAACTTCACTGGCATGATGTATTTCAACCTAGTGAGAAAAAAAGGGAATATTGTTAGCAAAATGAATCACAAGCCAGTACCTAGACAAGGGAAAAAAGTCACTGTCAACATCTAAGTAATGGATTTAATTGTTGAAAATGGTCCGTAAGTTGTAAGTTTTTTTTATAAAAAAAATGCACTACAGTTATTCTCCAATTTATATTCCATAGACAGTTCAAGAGTGAGGTCAGGATGGGTTCCTGGGCAGCAAAGGTTTGTGACCCTCTTAGCCCAAGTTCGATACCAGGTAAGGGAGTTGGTCCGAATCCAAAATAAATAAATAAAATAAATAAAGGCTGGGATTTGTTCCCGAAATTCCAACTAAAAGGAAAGGAAAATAAAAGGGCAAAAAAGTATCTAACTAGTGTTACTAAGGACACCTGAGCCCATGATTTTTTCCCCAGTCTGATGCTGAACACCCACATCACAACCAGACACTTCTTTCTGATTTCAAGTGTTATTTGTCATGTGCAAGAGTATTTTGCCAAATCAGACACCCAAGTCCAAGAAGATTCTGACACCCATGTTTGTGTCCAGGTAGAACTAGCATTAACTAAACAGAAACTAATAGAAAGAAAGAAAAAGGACGATACTTCAATAGCCAAATGTTTCAATAGCCAAATGTTTCAATAGCCAAAGGAGACAAGAGTTTATCATTGCTATTTTAACTATCAACAATTGTGCACCACAATGAACTCATATATTTCTACTGGACCTCAGTACACATTTACCACAAGATTGTGGTCAAACTTAAAGCATGCAATGCCTTAGTTGTATACAAAGCGATGAAAAAGCAGAACATACGAAACACAGCTAATTTTCAAACTATTAGACCAGAGCCATAGCTCATAGTAAATCCCAAAGGAGGGTTACCTCAATAGGGTGAGACTCTGCAAGTGAATCCAATTTGAGACCAGCAGTTGTGTCATCAAGGAATTGTGTCCAGATATTCCATTGCGGAAAGAAAGAATCTACAGCTAGATTACTCATCTGTTAAAAGAAAAGTCTATTTACTCAATATATAGAGGCAGCCTACGGACTGAAAATCTGAAATGTTAGGATCTAAAATTGATTACCCATGTAGCAAAACCTTCGTTTAGCCACAAGTGAGTCCACCACTCCATGGTTACAAGATTGCCAAACCACTGATGAGCCAGCTCATGTGCTACAGTAATTGCAATCTAAAACAAAGAAATGTTGAGATCATTAAAGCAAGGACATCTCTACATCTGGTATTCGATCACCTGAAGTGACCAATCTAACTATGAATTCAATGCAATCAATTGACCTGCATTTTATTGAATTAAAATATAATCTGATTCTCAAATATGGTAGTAACTCATCTATACTAATATTAAAGAGGCAAAATTTCTCTCCACCTATTTTTTCGTCCACCTCTCTCTAACTACTCGAAGAGTGGAGAGTTTCCACCGTGTCTCGTATGTGACCCGGACTCATGACTCATACTCGCATCTAGCAACGATGAATACAGAGTTTGATTCCAATACATATTGGGTCGCACCTTGCGTATCTCGTGTGTGAACCGGACTCATGACCCATGTTCATATGAGTTAGAACAACTCGCATCTAGCGATGACACGGAGTCCTATTCCTATACATATTGGGTTCCGTTCCAACACATGGGCACATTTGCTACTCATTTATAACAAGTGAAAGCTAGATAGTGGAAAGTTATATAACAAAGAGTCTGAGTAACGAAAGGTACACTCTGTTTGCTGGATTCCGCTGAAGACTCCTCATCAAAAAGCAAAGCCACTTCGCGGAAAGTAACCAGCCCATAGTTCTCCATGGCTCCGGCAGCAAAATCAGGGATGGCAACCATATCCAATTTGGGAAGCGGATAAGGAGTACCAAAGTAACTAAAAAAGTGGAGAAATGAACATTATATTAGTGGTTCTATCCTATTGTAACCACAACTATTCATAAACTTTTGTTATGGTTCTGCAAGCTTGTTTACTAGCAAGAGTGTGGTTGGCCGTACTCTTTATAAAGATGCAATGACTTGATTCCAACATCCAGTGCAAACTTCCCTTGGTTACTCTTGCCAACTTGAGTGTACACACGAACTTTTGTGCCTTTATACAATTATTAAACAAGATTAAGAAAATGGAATGCAAATGGAAAAAAAGAAGATGATACCAACATTTGTGCGTGTTCATGTTCTTTATTTTATTATGTATATATTTATCCAGTAACACAGATTACTTCCCGATTAAAATTGGACTTCATCAAGGGTCAGCCTTAAGCCCGTATCTCTTTGCCTTGGTAATGGATGAGGTTACTAGGAACATACAATGGGATATCCCTTGGTGTATGTTGTTCGCTGATGATGTAGTGTTAGTGGACGAAAGCCAGACGGAAGTAAATAGGAAACTAGAGTTATGGCGGCAGACCCTTGAGTCTAAAGGTTTTAGATTGAGCCGAACTAAAACCGAATACATGAGATGCGACTTTGACGGAGTTGTACAGGAGGAGGGAGATGTGAGTTTGGAAGGTCAAGTAGTGCCTAAGAAGGATACCTTTTGGTATCTGGGATCGATGCTACAGAGGGATGGAGATATTGATGCGGACGTTAGCCATAGAATCAAAGCAGGGTGGATCAAGTGGCGACAAGCTTCTGGCATTCTCTGTGACAAGAGGGTACCACAAAAGCTAAAAGGCAAGTTCTATAGAATGGCGATTAGACCGGCTATGTTGTATGGAGCAGAATGTTGGCCTACAAAGATTCGACATGTTCAACAACTGAGTGTTACAGAAATACGTATGTTGCGATGGATTTGCGGTCACACAAGAATGGACCGAGTTCGGAACGATGATATACGTGATCGCCTAGAGATAGCACCAATTGAAGAAAAGCTTGTCCAACATCGATTGAGGTGGTTTGGCCATGTCCAAAGGAGACCTCCAGAGGCACCAGTGTATTGTGGAGTCCTAAGCCAAGCTAATAATATGATGAGAGGTAGAGAAAGACCGAAATTGACATGGGGGGAGGCAATAAAATGATATTTGAAAGCTTGGGATATACCTAAAGATCTATGTTTGAATATGAGTACTTGGAAAGCAGCTATTGAAGTGCCTAAACCGTGACTTGGGGCTCTTGGTGGGTTTCAACTCTAGCCTACCCCAACTTGCTTGGAACTGAAAGGCTATGTTGTTGTTGTTGTTGTTATATATTTATCCAGTAGGGGCTCACCCTAATGTTCCTTTAAAAAAGATGATACATGTCAAATTAACGCAAGAAAAGTAGAGTTGATACCTTCTGGTGTTACACCCTCTATATATTCAAGCAAACCAACAACTATAGCCACTAAATAAGTCGACATAAGAGGTGATTCCACATAGCGAACAGTCTTGATAGGACCAGCAACTGTCTGATTAGCTATTGGCATATTGGACAATGCCACCATCCCCACTGGTACTTCAAGTGTTAGCTTGAACCTAGCCTAAAAAATAGACAGAGAAAAATGGAAACGTAAGAAACCACATATTTGATATTTTATTAGGCATGTGTACATGAGACTGAGAGGAGCATAAAGCTACAGGTTGGAGTAGAACTTGCTACCATAAATGTACAAAATGTTGCTCAGAGCACAAAAGCCTAATAGATGAAACACCTGAAGGAGCAAACCCAGATAATCAGATATTTCATTTTAGTACTATAATCACCTTGAATGCAGGCTCATCCCAGCATGGGAAGCACCGCCGAGCATCCACAGACTCAAATTGTGTCACTGCCATATTCTTCATCTTTCCCTTATACTGGTACTTACTGCATCAAACAGCACTCAGAGTTATTACTGCAGAAAAAAAAACACTTAAAAGAATGAAGAAAAGGAAAGAACAAAATGGATTCGAATCGAACACATTTTTTATAAAAAAACAAAAAAAAAAACTCCCATTTAGTAGCTCGTTCCAAGAAGCAACTTCCTGAAATGCATGCTTTTCGAATAACATAGCAAGTGCCTAGTTGGCGTTGATTGGATATCATGAATGATGATAGAACAAGTAAGTATGGGCAAAAGACGAGATCGAAATTTGTTAACTATAGACTATGTTATCATGATCGTGCCATAGAGCTCACAGATTTTAGGAGCGAATACAATTCAAAGGATTGAAGACATGACTATGAAGTCTCTCGTACCAGCAAAGGCAATAATTTTGACCTTTCTCCATTTCAGCAACGCTCAATTTAAGTGCCAAAAAATAAGAGTTTAGGATTAGAGGAAACCCATACCTCCGATAGAACCCCCTCATCTGGTCGTTGAGCGTGCCGTTAAATTTCATACTGAGCACGCCCTCACCGAGTGGCAGGTCCTTGGAGAATCCGAGCACCAGGATCTCGTCGTCATCGAAAAACACCACCTCCTTAGGCGCCAGATCCTGCGAAAACCGGCCCCGGACCGGCATCCGAGATGATATTTGGCGCCAAGGGAAGGGCACATATATGGCAACATTTTTTCTTCGAGAGAGTTGGGTCGGCGCGTACGTACCCGGAAACGGATGGAGGCGCTGTCGACTGAGAGGTCGGCGGCGTTGAGGACGAGGAAGCGGGTGGGCGCGGAGACAGCGACGGCGACGGCAGCGGTGCCCGAGAAGGTGCAGGCGACGAGGTCGGGGCGGATGCGCAGGTCGTAGCGGCGCGGCGTGGCGAAGCGCGGGAGCAGCGGCTGCCCGCGGAACTGTGCCGGCGTACCGGCCACCGCCGGCGGCGGCGGCGCGGGCGCGCGGCCAGGCGGTGCTGCTGCCGCTTCGACATTCGCGCCCTGCGTGGCGTGAATAGGATGAGACAGTGGCCCAGCTTACGTGCATCAAATTGTGAGTAAGCCCGGCTAACGGCCCACTAGGCCATACACGAGAGTGTGGGCAAACCCATACACAAATAACACTTGTAGCAAAAGGCCCATCTAACGCTATCTTATGGATAGCTTTGCAACACAAGATCCTAAAAAAATGCAATACAAGATCAATATATAATTCTATATTATAATTTTATAGATATTATTACTGTTCCCGTTCTAAATTATAAGTTGTTTTAATTTTTTATTTTTGTTATGCACCTTCATATAGTTATTATATCTAAAGACGTTTGCTATTTATTGATGATAGTTTTTTTTGTAAATCTGTTAGATTTCTATATATTTGACCGTGCTTTATAATTGTGCTACAACTATCTACTGGGGCATTTATAAAAAATCTAACAAATTTGACCAAGACTCTATTATCTTTTACTCCATTATCAAAAGGGATTCCTATGGATCCAATGAACAAAGTAAAAAGTAGTAATATAAGAAGAGGAAATAGCATAGTATTTCCCGTTTCATGAGGATAGACAAAAGTTTTTTTAGCCCCAAAGGGAGTACTAAAGGATCCTATCTTATTTCTTGTATTAGCAGGAATTTTGGGTATATTTTGTGAAAAAAAAGAAACTCCACTCTTCATTGTTGATAAAACAAAATCCCTATTGACTCATTTGGATATACTTCTCCATATCTAAATATATAGTAAAAATTATATATCTATAAAAATCGAGAACGCCTTATAATTTGAAACGAATAGAGTATGCATTAGTTAAAATGCCATATTATTAAATATGGTTTGAAAAAATACACTTGTTGCATAACCCATTATCCCGTATTAGTAACGTGACCTACGCCGACTTCTAAAATTTTATGGTAAATCATTTTTCCTCATCTAAGCAAAGTTTTTTTTATACAAAAGTATACAAACCGAATGAGTTTATTTGAATCCATCGTAAAATCATAATCTAAGCAAGTTTGTACAAAAGCACAAACCGAATGAGTTTATTTGAATAATATGGCAATAAAAGTACTAATGTACAATGTGCCGATCGATCTCTAGCAGCGCTACCTTGTTGAAGTACCGGGCAAGTACTCCTGCGGTCTCCCCGGCGAACCCCATCTTCCTGCCGCCGAGCGGGGGCCCAGCGTCGCCACCGCTGGCACCCGGCAAGACGGAGACGAGCAGCAGTGCCACCAGCAACGCCGTCGCGACGATGCCGGCGCCGGCGGTCGTAGCCGTGGGCAGCCTCTGCATGCTTCTCTTCGTTGTTCTCTCTCTCTCTCTCTGTCTCTCTCGATCTGGCACAGGCGCACAGTGACACACACCACGCCCAGGTCGGTCGGCACACTCTTCTGTCACTGAGAGTGCCTTGGGTTCAGTTGGGACTTGGGAGAGTGCATGCGTTATTACTGGCGCGCGGCCTGCGGACCAGCGGCGGTGCGCTGACTATGACTGGGGGAGCGATCGGAACCGGAGGGGCGCGGAGGGAGGAGAAGAAGAGGTCGTCGGAGAACACCCCGCGGATCGCGCAAAAGAATTGGATCATGTGAACCGACGCATTTCGGGGCAGGCAGCAGACTGGCAGAGCGGCAGAGGCAACGCTGGAGGTGGCGTGGAGGATCTTGCTCTCGCATGCCGACAAGGGGCCTGATGCCTCTGCGGTCTGCGGTCTGCGGTCCGCCTCGCCCATCACTTTACAAAAAGAGTTTCCTGGGACGTTGCTCTTGTTGGAAACGATGGGGCAGGGTTCCGTGTACTGCACTGTATCCACTCACTCACGTGGTAGTTGAGATCCGTGATTTTTTTTTTTTTGAATCCGAGATCCATGAATATTACTGTGACTGACGACACGGTCCATGCAAAGTTAAGCTAATAAGCATATTTATTTATCATTCTGATTGTACTAAGTAAATACGGGAATCTCAACATTGGCCTCCCGTGCAAAACGTTGACCACTAAACTTTTTAAAACGTATCAGACCGACCACGTCGTATTTATATTTATCTATAAGCGAGAAGGCTAAAGCACGCTCGATCATGCGTTAGAGAAGCACGTGACTTGTTTATTTTGTTCTCTGATGAACCGATAATAACATGACCAAAAAAAACCCGAACACATGTGAGACCACATGCCACATATGTCATGTCCGTCAAAATCACAATTCGAATTGAAACCCACTATGAAATCATGCGTTAGAGAAGCACGTGACTTGTTTTATTTGTTCTCTGATGAACAGATAATAACATGACCAAAAAAAAAAGAAAGCCGAACACATGTGAGACCACATGCCACGTATGTCATGTCCATCAAAATCACAATTCGAATTGAAACCCACTATGAACTTGGGGGGCAGGGGGGGTGTTTCTTCGGGAAGGGGGAGGGAGGCGCAATTTGTCCGGTTTCGAAAGTAAAGAGGAACATGTTGTTTAATTAATTGGTGTGTTCTAAATTTAGTGATAAATTCATAGGATAATTCTGACATTAGTCTTTTTCTAATGGGTATATTTTATCATATTGAGTACGGGTATGGATTGGCGGTACCTAGAGGGTTCTTAACCATTGCTAGCCCTACACAGTGCACGAGCGTACCTCACCTATCGAGCAGCTACGATAATATGCGTCCGCCCGCCTTGTGGCGCACAGACGTGCGAGCCACAGAGGGGCTAGCCAATGGCTAGTGACTCATGGGGGCTAGGGCCTATGGCATGGTTGGGTTGGGCACCTGTTGGTCTCGAAGCGGGACACAAAGAGAAGGCGTGCATGCCTGAGATGGGAGAAAACAACTTGAGGGAGCGAAAACACATTGCAGCATGTACATGTTGAACAAGTTCTATCTTCACCATTGAATACTTCTTTGAGATTCGTGCTGCTCACTCTCCCTAATGCTTCACACTACTGATTGGGAATGCACATATCTCGATATGATGTTTGGATGGTAAGGATAGCACATGCTCAATATGTATGCACCAAAAAATGCTTTGGCTTGAGCGAGGGATGAGTTGGTCTAGCATTTTTTTATGGGTGAGGATGTCCTCTATCTTATGCAAATATTTTCTAACGAGGACGATTCTGTCTCTACTACTATCTTCTAGTAAGAAAATTGTAAAAGTGGGATCTTTTCAACCCATCATGTCTTGTCCCGTCGTTCGAACCAAATGCCAAGTCATCCTCCGATGTCACTCTGCTGATACCGTGATATTATTGACTTATTGTGGCTACAGTCATTCCATATACATATGTCAGAGGTTATTTGGAATGGTTTTTTCTGGTTATCTCTCTATGCTAGTCAACCAATGAAGTTAATTTTTGTTAGTCTCACCGAGGCTTCTAGTTTACTTTGAAAATAAGAAAAGAAAAAAAGTTGTTTTAGGAGATTAAGCCACTAGGTCGGTGCCTTAACTATTCTGCCTCGATCGTTAACACCTTCATTTCATTGATAATGGTTAGACCTCCTATCTCTCGTTGCATCAGATCGCCCTCCTATTATCTTCCGCTGTGATGCCCCCATATAGCCGTCTTAGCTCACGGTGTGGCAGCAACAGCCCATATCACCTCTCTATATATGCCCCGTATATCACCACCATTTGTCACCAAGACGGACTTCAATTTCATCAGGGGTTCAAGTCCAATGCAGAGTATAACCCATAACCTAAGTCAAACGTTATTTGTAAGCCTCAATGGAGGCATAGTAAGTGCAGGCCACGATGGAAGTGCATATTAGGTGCATCTGTTTTCAATAGAAAGGGATATAAATATTATTTCATATTGATTTTATGGAAGATCAATGAAGCATATGAGTTGATATATAGTCAGAGATAACAAAGTTTGACAAATAAAAATCATATAAAACGGCATAGTGATGCATATTATGACTCTTAGCAAGTGTATGGGTCTGTCCGGTTGCCTTTCGAGGCAGCACTTTTGCAGCAACGACGGCTACTACAAATGATTGTAGCCGGACACGTCCTATGTTCTTTTTATTTTCTACTAGGAGATTCTCTAAGTTTTCTTTTGGTAAACATGAGATCCTCTAAGGTTGAAGTTGGCGCAGATATTGCAACTTGTCGACAGGGGCGCAGACAAGGGGGCGAGCAGGGGCACATGCCCCCTATGAATGTGAAATTTCCACTTATTTTTTTTGAAATTCAAATTAATTTTTTAAAAAATAACACCGCTGATCCCCTCTAAAATTCAAAAAAAAACACCTTCCTGGTTCAAGTCCTGCTTGCCGAGCTCAGTGGCTATTCCAAACGCGTAGCTTTGCACGTATGCTGCTATGTATATAAAACGAAAAAATAATACTCCTACTAGTTTTTTTTTATACGTGCGTGGGAAGCAAATGACAAAGCATTTAGAGGCTTTCATTTTGAAGGAATTGAAATCTGCTTAATGGATTATGTTATTTGGCTTGGAATTTGACATTCCATAATTTTTCCAAGCCCACGTATAATCCTATCTTAAATTTATAGGATAAAAGATGAAAATTGATTCTATAGATCACCATGTTATATTCTATTCTGTAATTTATAGTACGCTCTTGAACTCGCTTCCCTACACTAAAGCTGTTTCCAACAGGAGACCCATTGCGAAACACAAACCTAAAATGGGTCTCCAACACAATACCTATAGCCTCTAACAGAGTACCTATATGAAAGACCTATTTTGGGTGTCAGGAGAGGCATAACCCAAATCTGAGTATCCTTTCTCCTGAAGACCCATTTACAGAAAGAGTTGTCTTTTAGGTCTGGTTATTGGAGCCAAAAATAGGTATTGAACTATTTGTCTGTGTCGCTATCCAAAGGACGAATGGATCTTGTATTTTGTGTCGCGGTTGTTAGGGACAGTCTAACAATGATATACAAATAGATTACATATACAACCATATTAGCTTAATTAATCTGTGTCTAAATTATAATTATTAAAATAAATTTAATTCCAAGTATCCAAACGGGGCTCATGGTGTATTTCTAAGTAACGTATCAGGTGCAAACCAACAAACATGTGCAAACTTGGAAACTACCAATCAGGACCACTAGATGCTGATCCAATGAATGGGGTGAGAGGTGGGATTTTTTTGCGCTTAAGCCCCCACCCGCCGGTGTTTTTTTTGCGTTTAAGCCCTCGTCCTATCCATTGGATCAGCATCAAGTGGTATTGATCGGTAGTTTTCAAGTTTGCACAGGTTAGTTAGTTTACACCGTATTTCTAAGCACTCCTCTCTGTATTTTTGTGTCGATCAGAGTGGCCTGGCGCCCTGGTCCAGTGTTGCAACTTGCGCATGCAACGTAAAGCATAGTCAACACTCGATGGGTGTGACACTAACGTTGCTCTACCAGCACCAGTATCGTGCACGTAACAAACAGATAGCCGAGTTAATAACCCAGATAAATAAATATTACAGTGCTACTAGTGTGGTGGCTTGTGGGCCACACCCATAGACCCGGTAAGGAAAGTGAGGTAAAGGTCCTTCAGTAGTTACCTTGGCGGCTCCCTCCTCCAGCTCCAGCCTCCTCCGCACGGCCTCGGCGGCGCCCGTCGTCGTCCCTGGCGCCAAGAGCAGCATCAGCAGCAACAGCCCCGCCGCCGTCGTCGTGGCCGCGCGTCTAGGTGTAGCCATGGAGACGGACGGACGCGCCGCTCAATCGGCCGCTGGGCCTGCTGGCCGGCCAGCCGAGCCGTGCGCTCTCTGCTTGCTGCCTCGTTCTACTCTCTGCTTCTCAAGCACAAGCAGAGCCACCGAGTGAGCCTCGCCCTCGCGGGCAGGCGGGCGGCGCTGGTGACCGCCGGCCGACTTCGACTGCGAGCCTGCGAGGCACGGCGCTCCTCCACCTCTCCACGACTCCACCTCCACCCCCGTCCGTCCCACGTCCCGAGGCCGCACCCGCGCGTGTATATATGCAGGTCACGCGCGGACCGGCCGGGCGGGCACCACCGCCACGTTGACCGTGCGCGAGCGAGACGGGTCGCGGGAAGGAAGTGGCCGTGGGATACGATAAAGGCGGGCGTCCGCGTCGGCCGTCGGGCTCACCGGACACGGACGGGACCACCCGGCGTTCGGGTCGGTGTCGGTCCTACGTGGCGGCGAACGTGAACCGCCAAATTAGCGCCTAGGGGGGGCCGCCGCGACCTGGCGACGAGCGAGCCACGAGCATGAGCAGGAAGATGACCGGTTCGTTGTATTGGGCACTGGGCCTTTTCTTTGTCACTTTAGATTAGCCCAACAACAACATGACATGCTTGCAGCTTGCCGCGGCGGCCATCCTCTTGTAGTCTTGTTGCGGCGCGATCGTCCCGTACTCCCCCGGCTCGTGCAGGTCAGGTGCAGCCAGCCGGCGAGGCTGCAGTCTATCTGCTTCGTTGTTTATTTCGATCCTACCTTTGTTCGGGATGAGCTCGATAAAAAACGAAAGCATTGTCTTTTTTTTTAGGACGGTCCAGCTACAGCTGTTTTAGGCTAATTTTCTTCGACGCTCGGTAGAAATGCGTTGTCTGTATATTTAAACTCCCTTAATACAATGATACGTAAAAATCTTTTGCGTATTCGATAAAAAAATTGAAAGCATGTGTTGCTTCCAGAAAGTAACAGGCAAGTTGATTGTTTCTGTACACGACTGTTTAATCAATCCAATAAAAGTAACAGGCAAGTTGATGAGTGGTTGTCGATGGCAATCACGTGCCCTAAAAAAGGGTGAATAAAATTAGTCCCAACTATAATATGATCTAATTATATGTCAAGCTGAATTCAACGAGGACAATTTTATATCGGGCCTGTTCGGCAGGACTGAAAAATACTGTTCCGGCTGATTGTTGTGAGAGAAAAATACTGTTCTGGTAGGACGTGAACAGTGATTTCGTGAGAGCGAGAACCAGCCAGCCAGCCGGCTTAAAGCCAGCCGAACGGGCTCATCATCTCTATATCTATATCTATATTTTCTATAAAGATAATCTCCACTAGTTTATCTTAACATACAATCCATCCACTGACTATCTACGTCATCTTCCACTAATAACCATGTCATCTCATAACTTACAACCTCTTAACGCAAGATATTCACATCATCTCCTATTCCAAATTCTTCGTAATCCCTAGAGCATTGCGCGCAGGGAATCACATGAGCATAACAATCCCATGCGAAGCCTAAAACTTACTTGAGATTGCATATAAAATACCAAGTGTTTCTGATACTTGATTACCATACAACCTGTCTAATTATTACTTCCAATAAAATTAAAGTGCCCGACATTTTCAACACTCATGTTTTTAAACCTTTGTTTAGAAACAAATTTTAACATGATCCCACATAAAATGATATATCTTTTACCATGTCTTCAACTATGAAAATCATGCATGTGTACATATATCTTGAAAACAATTATAAAATGAAGCCGCGTTGTGTAAATTCTGTTTGGTTGCTTATGTTTTATTATATGTGATCGCCTCCATGTTCTAACTAGTATAATGCCCATGCTAACGCAACGGATTTATCTTGGAGACGCACATAAAAATAACCAATGTTTTTTTTCATAGTTTAACTTTTACACAATATCTTTGAGCACGTATACAATCCGGGAAACTAAGAAGTCATAGTAAAGTTTTTTCTCATATAACCATTTAAGTTACATTCTGTCTAAGTCCTTAATCATGACTTGCAGATCTTCAGAAAAGTTGTCAAAACATTCGTTTGCATGGCTCTTAAGAATGTCCCCCAAAAATTCCATCCTCAGTGAATTTGATAGCTGTGCATGGTAGATATAATAAGTTAAGTTATTAATTTTGTATGTAGTGTACGGAATATAGTTAGAGAATATATGCTTACATTGTTGATCTGTGGCAATCTTACACCATCCCATGACTTCATGAAATTGTATACAAGGAAGCCTCCTAATTTCCCGGAGATGAGCATTTGTTTGATTTATTGTACTAAAATGTCACCGTTGCGTTAGCACGGGCATTAGTATATTTGCATGTGCTAACGCTACGGTGACATTTGGTAATGGAAATCAAACAACAGAAAATGATCTACCTGCACAATATTTAGTTTCAAAAGATCTGGATCCAATATTACTACGGGAACACCCATCTCTTTGCCAAAAGAACTTTATTATCACGGATTCAACAATATCATTACAAAACAAGACTCTTAACACAAAACTGAAAACAATACTCAGTCTTTGTCATGACATATTGGGGCATTTGGAACACCTAGGCCACCACTGGCATCTAGATCATACTTAGTGGAACAGGATTAATTTCTTTTGGCATGAATCTTAACCTATCTCACTATTTATTTACTTTAGTTAAAAAAATGTTTTTTTGCTTTTACCGTAGCATTAGCACGGGTATGCTGCTATAATAACTAATCATCCATTTGTTGGCATGATTGCCCTAGAAAGGACACCAATTAGCACGAAGAGGAAGGGAGATTACCGTTGTGCTTTTTGCGGGGCCAACTGCGGACAGAACAATGCAAGTGGGCAAGTGGCAACCTCATTCAACTGCAAGTAGAGAATCTTTAGATCTTTTTTATCTTATATATAAGTTCCTCTGCTGTATCAAGGCGCACAGCCTCTACCAAGCTTGTGTGTTTGTGTGGCCTGACAAGCTCCGTGCAAACATAAAACACCCCCTCAAAAACACATCTTTCCTTTAATTTTTGAGGTAGCCAAAATAACTGCAGTATTATTGACATAGTAGAATGCCTATGCTAATGATAGGATGACATTTAGTAATGTATTTAAAAATAACAAAAAGATTATGCTTCCATATTCAAGAATAAAATGGTAATTTTAAGATTCATGCAAAAAGAAATGAAACTTCATACTACATTGTTGGATACACAACCATTTTCAATTTCTTTCTGCAAATATATTCCATGAAGTTAACATACCACACAAAAAGATTTGATTCAGCACTCATTGAGTGTAAAATTTGGAACTGCAACCCAACCATGACCACTGAATGAGCGCACCTGCAATAGTAACATGAATGGATTAAAGTCATACCTGCAACTGCAATATTAATATTGTTACCAGTAATAGCAGATGTAGCTGATCACCATGCAGAGCGGGTCTAGCCACACCCGCGGCGGGTCCATCCACACCCACGGCTACGCGCAGCAGCAAGGCAGGCTGGGAGACGACGACGCTATGCGCATCAGGCGACCTTGGGGTGGATCATATCTAGGCCTTTGGAAGGCGGATCCGGTGGAGCCCGCAGCGGTGGCAGCCCAACCACCACGTAGAGCCGGTCCGGCCGCACCCTAAACCATAGTCAAGCAACCATAGTCCGGAACTTTCTGAACAAATGATGGACCAAAATCATCGACATCAGATCGTGATTCAGCATTTGATGTATCACTTAACATGCCCTGCCACTGAAAGAGGCCAATATAGTAGTAGTTTAGAACAAGAATCCATAAAAGCAATCAACTTCTTGCAATACCACTAATAATGAAGGCTGTAATTTTAGAATATTACTTTCATCTGTTCCAACCGAAAGGAGGAGTTGCTTTATTTCTTCCCCCTCAGAAACAGGTTTGATTTCCCTCACGCATCCAGCTTCCAAATTGTGGATCAGCTACAAATAATATAAACAAGGACAACATCTAGATAAACTATTTTCAGGTAAACACAAAACAGTAAATGTCACCTTCAATATATAAGGATCATTCCACCGTCCGAACTTGAGAAGAAGAAATTCTATTAATCATTTAGAGCTTCTCCCATTACGCTTGATCAAGACACCGAGTATGCCAACAGCAGGCTGCATAATAATCAAATCGAAGTTGCAGAATAACACCAGCTTGTCATTGGTTATCCATAGCAAAAAAAAAAATTCGAGATCCAATCTGCCCTTCGATCAAACAAGGAAGGAGAATTAAAATTGGCAAGATGGCAGGACACCGAGAAAACAGAAACAAAATTTTCTACCAGAGCAAAAACCGTCGTGTCGTAGGCGGCCGACAGTAGACGTGGGCGGGCAGCAGGGTTCCTCGGCCGGTCGTGGTCACCGCCAGCGCCCCTGTCCGTCGCGCGCGTGATGGTCGGGAGGATGCCGCGTCCAGGCCCTAGGTGCAGCCCGTTGGCGTCGGCGTCGTCCTCGGCGATGTCGCGTCCAGGCCTGCAATCTACGTATTGCTGTCGATGTGGCTGGCCGGCAGTAGGCGTGAGCGGCCAGCAGGGTTCCTCGGCCGGCAATAGCGGCCTGGTTGGCGGCGTCGGCGGCGTCCTCGGCGCGTTTGTTTTTTTTTCATTTTTTCGGTGATAGGAGGGTTCGATCGTGGGTGGTTCTGCGGTAGACGCACGTTGAAGCCTTGCGGTGCCGCGCGTTGAAGCCTGATTTGATCAAAACAACCATGGCCACATGATTAGGTTGAAGCCTCTCAGGGTGATTTGTAGCCCTTGATTTTAATAAAGACGATTTTCTGGGTGCAATTTTTTTGGTGCATATGGTTAGAACCACTCAGCAGGAGACGTTTTTTGGGTGGACCTAGTATAGTTTGGATTGGTCCCTTATAGTAGAGAAGATAAGGTCTTATGTCTAGTATACAGGCAGGGGAGGTGAGCGTATTTTATTTATGTGTGTCACATCGTTTTATACAAATCTACATTGTCTAA